GCTCAGTAGATAGAGCATTGGCCTTCAGACTGAAGGGTCCAGGTTTGATTCCTATCAAGGGCATGTTCCTTGGTTTGCAGACACATCCCCAGTGCAGGAGGCAGCTTACGGATGTTTCTTTCCCATCGATGTTTCTAACTCTCTATCCCTCTCCCTTCCTCTCTGTAAAAAATCAATAAACTATATATTTTAAAAAAAACAAAACAAAAAACTATTCTTACCAAATCCATTGTCTAAAGTTACTTTAATATTATTAAATTTAATTATTAAAGATTACCAAAATTATACACATCAAGCAAAAACTAGGAATGTGTGCAGGTTTGAGGATAGAGTGAATGAAGATAGATAAATACTGGTTGGCTTAGTAAGCGCTTAATCCTTCTTTTTAAGAGGAAAACAATATTTTTGCTTTGTCAGAGGGGGGCATATACAGAAATAAACATTAGTGTAGGCCTCTGGTTTTTTAAGAGTGTTTTGCTGTCTTTATTGACTACAGTTTTGTTTCATGTTTTTGTGTACTTCTCAGAATGTTTGGGGCCAAAGCACATGATAGATATCTTTATACATATCCTGAATGGCAAGTAAGGATGTTTCCTAACTTTTGACTGTGGGCTTTTCTTTGTGATGTGACAATGGGGCCAACGAATGCTGAGTGTGCTGGGTGAGAGGTCAGAGACGGCTCACTGGGTTACTCAATCATCACCAAGTCTGGATACACAGAATGAAAATCACTGGCATGTTTCTGTGAACATCACTTCTGGTAGCTTCACATGAGTCCACAGGCACAGAATCCCTAGACAATCCCCACTGAGGAGGTGCCTCAGAGGGAATGCGCAGGAGTCAAATGTGTACAATCCTGCAAGCTCAGCCTCCACACTTTGATAGATTCATCTCCTTTACTGTCAGCAGCTGGCTGCCTCTGGCCTCCCAGCTGTGTCCATCTCCTGACCTCTTTCCTTTACTCCTGCCCCAGGTCTGTGACTGCCCGGAGTCCCTACAACCATCTTTCTCCAGAACTTCCTTTTCACACTCCGCTCCCCACCCATCCAGGGTCAGTACTGGATAAATGGGAAATTCCAGGGATGTTGCAGGAAAACGAGGAAGTGGTCAGATGAGTCATAAATGGCTATGTCCTTGTAAGGTTTTAAAGAGTCTCCACTTACACTACAGAACATGACTTTTCTGTACAACCGAATGGATAATCTAGAATAATTTTATATAACGTAACGTTTCTATATCTTCTTCTAATATTTTCCTTACTTTATTACATACAAGAGAGTACGAAAAGGGGAAGCTTAAATTAATAAAAATTTAGTTAGGGAAATGTACTACTTTCCTGGGATTATATGTGAATTTTATTAATCCTTTCTCCTAATTTGCAAAAACAATTGGCTACAGTCACACATCGATGACACCTCATAAGATCAATACCTACTTTGAACTGTTAGGAAAAAAACAACAACTCAGTGCTTTTTTAAAAAAAACAAGATTGCCCTGGTTGAGTAGTTCAGCTGGTTGAAGCATCATCCTATATACCAAAAGGTGGTGGGTTTGATTCCTGGTCAGTGCTCATACCTAGATTGCAGGTTCGATCCCCATTTGGGCATCAAACTGATTGAAGTTTCTCTCTCACACTGGTATTTCTCTCTCTCTCCCTCTCTTTTCCTTTCTCTCTAAAACCAGTATTTATTTATTTTTTTTAAAAAGGATTGTACTTTTCATTTGCCTAGCACTCTATATATATTACAACCATTTAATCTGCAACACAATCAAATGGCATTTTATTTAGCTCTATAATCATGAGAAGGTATTATTCCCTTTTTATAGCTGAAGGAACAGGAACACAACAAGGTTAATTTTTTTCAGGTCCCAAAGCTTGATGATTAACTGGCAAAGCCCAAACTCTCACGGACATCTTCAAGTCTAAGGCCAAGGTTCTCCCCTGAGGCCACCATCTCTGCCTTGGCAAGCTGCAATCCCTAGTTTTCTTGATCTTCATACTTACCACAGATAGAGCCGGTGCTCAGCGAATAAGGTGGTTTGATTTGGAGCAATCTAGACTAAGCTGAAAGGAATTCCCTACAGCCTTTGTAAAGGCCAAGTTTCTTGACAACTATCACCAACCCTTTGGGCTGACAGTTTTTAAAATATCTCTCTCTTATTGATTTCAGAGAAGGAGAGAGAGATAGAAACATCAATGGTGAGAGATAATGTACACCTCCTACTGAGGATTGAGGCTGAAACCCGGGCATGGGCCCTGACTGGTAATCTGGTTCATTGGTTGACGTTCATTCACTGGGTGACAATGGCTGGGTCTGACAGTTCTTTTAAGGCAGCAACCACAGACTCCTCCTTCCCCAGTGTCTAGCATACTGGGTGCTCGTTTAAGTTCAACAGATACTTGAGAAATGAATGTCCAAGTAAATTTTGCTATATAATCAAATCACAGAAAATTCTTCCATTAGTGATGGCAATGGGGACTTTACAGCCACCACCGTATAAAAACATCAACTCAAAAAAGCATTTATAAAAAACCTCCCTGATGGCCTCTAACAGAGACACCTATAGGGTTTTTCCAACTCCCAAAGTCTATGAATCCATGGCAAGTCTATCCCTGACAGGCAATTATACTGTTCACCTAGAGCACCAACTATGGGCAAATATAACTGGACTCACAGTTCAGAACCTCACAATGTTCTTAGTCTGCAGTATGCTTCTGGAAAAGCGACGCCTCTGTATATATGACAGGGAAGTTACCCATTCCAGAGGGAATGGTAATAGATGATAAGGTCGATCTGAGTCACAGTGGAACTGCCATTTGTCAAGGTACTATGTTGTAAAAAGGAGCTATATTAAGAAAAGTCATGCTAACTTTTATTTTCTCAAGAATACATGGCTGTTTGGATTTCTTTTTTTAGCTTCAAGTTCATTGTGCCATGAGCAGACAGGCAAGGGTTTTTTGCTTTGTTTTTAAGTGTTTTTTATTGATTTTAGAGAAGGGAAGGGAGAGGGATAAGGAGATAGAAATATTGATCAGCTGCCTTCTGCACACTCCCTACTGGGGATCAAGCCCACAACCTGGGCATGTGCACCAACCAGGAACTGAACCAGTGACTTCATGCTTCATGAGTCAATGCTCAACCACTGAGCCATCCCAGCTGGGCTGACAGGCAAGTTTTGACTCCTCCACAGAAATTGTCTGAGCATTTCTGAGATGTCCTAATACAGGGAAGGGAGGTAGGCAGAGTGGGCCAAAGCAGTGTCTAAACTCAGTTAAGCTCTTCTGTGACTTCAGGGATTTGTGAATTTGTGGATGTTCGCTTTGTCCATCTCCATTGCTTCTCTGTACGCTGCTATGAACTGGCTATCACCTTGCTGGCTACCTGTTTCACAGAGCTGCTGTAGCAGACTTAGAAAACATTTTGACCTCTCAGAAAAAGCACTGCACAAAGAACTGAAAGGGTCAAGTATGGCCAGCATCTCACTTCCTGTCTGAGGCAGGCAATTTCTCCAAATAGTAAAGAGTTACTCTAGGTTATCTTTTCTAAATCAAAGGATCCTACAAATACTCTTTTCTGATGCATTACGAGAACAATTTTTTTTTAGAAAAAAAAAAAATTCATACCAATGGAATAATTCTGAAAATAGCTAAATTAAAATTTTTTTTAATTTAATATTTATAAATGTATGCGATATACAAGGCACTGAGCTAGATGCTGCAGGGATATAGAATTCTATAAGAAAGGTCCATGCATACTCCCTCTGCGCACCTGGAAATGAAACCTTCATTTGGATTTCCTTCCCAAATAAACAAAAATTTCTTTTTCTTAGGACATGGAAGAACAATTTTTTTTCTTTTCTCTGTTATTACTCTGTGGCTTCACAGAAACATTCTAGAACAAACTGGGGGAGAAATTCTTTTATCTGTTTGTTTTCCAGCGACACGCAAGCAGCTTTAGCTTTCTCAAGGGTGACTGAGCTACAGGATGACTACAACTTCCAAAGTAGCCTGACCAGATCTGACAGGCACACGACGGGGGAAGACAGGAGCCCATGTGACCCTCAGGTTCAGTAAGAAAAGTTGGGACATATTGTCAGAGAGCGCAGGAAGGAGATGAAGATCACGTGGTCTGGGAAGATGAAGAACGAGAGTATAGGAATATTCCAAGTAACAGCAAGTCCTTTGGGACTCCTGAACGCCCTGCCACAGTCCATCACGTATAGCTACACAAAGAAAGGAAAAGTTAAGGCATTTCATGCCTTACTTCTGCTAGTGACTGAGCTTGAAAAAGAAAATTAAGACAATCTTTTCAGTCAAGCACAGAAATTGTAGCCTGGACATTTAAGGAAATAAGCTCATGAGATGGGGTACAATACTTTTTAGCAATTAGTCAAGTGTTCATACCTAATTAATTTAAAACAGAAAGCCCCCGACTTCCTTCAATCTGTACTGGTATTTGTTTGCTGGAACTGGTTGTTCCAATACATAAGTGCTTTGAATGTGTTTACTTCCCCCCCAAGATTTACGGCCAAACTGTTCTCAAAAATAGAATAAACTTAATATCCGCTTCTTTCATTTTTAACATTGCATTTTCCCAAAACCGCAGAACTGATGTTCTTCAACGAAGTGATTGCTGAGAACTGACTCCCATGTCCAAGAATGGGGAAATGAAAAAGGGTGTACACTCCAAGGCAAATAGGGCATGCTCACGATAAAGTCAAGACCATTAAGAAAATCTACAACACATCAACATGTTGTAGTTATAGCTCTGATCGAGCCAAACCATCTTTGGAGACAGCGGATCACAAACAAGACAGCCGTATCTGGAGCTCAGACAGCAAGAGTACGCGGCCTCTCCACAGAACTGGACATGACCCTCAGCCAGCTCCGTCCCGTGGTGTGCTCTCACAGGCAGCACATCAGCTAGTCTCAGTTTTCTGTTTGTTGTTGTATTTCTCTCCCCCCACCCCCCTTAAAAATGAAAAGCAGATCCACTTACATGGCTCTCTGGCAATGAACTGAGGTACAGTGTTGGGCAGAGGAGTACTGGGGTTTGGAGTCCCTACGAGTTTGCTCTTGGCCATCTTCGTGTTTGCCTTAGCAAACTCTAGTCGTAGTGTTTGCGGAATTTCAGGATCGAAGCGGATGCCCTTTGGAAAGAAAAGAACAAATGGAAGATGTTTTCATTTCCTTAGAGTCAAACCGGAATGGTGACAAGATAAACACACCAGTAAATCCTGGCTAGGCTGAAAGAGAAAAAACATCAGCAAGAGCTCTCATTCTCGCCACTTGCACAGAATGCATGAAAACTCATAACCCAACACGTCCAGGAAGCCAGGGAGATTTCGGTTGCTTCTTTTTTTAGTTACATGGGTTTTCAACTCTTCTTCATGGCTTTTCTTCTTGGACAACAAGGTTCAGATTCAAGTTTTAAACTTAGACCAGCAAATTATGAGCACAGATAAACACTTCAATTAATGGTTACCGATAAGAGCAAAAAGATTAGTGGAAAGCCCTGTGCAATTCTAGAAAGTTTAACTCCTGAAATGATAAAAGGCCCAGGCTCGACCTGCGTTCTGACACTGACATTGACCTAATGCAATTCTTCAAGGCCTCAGTTTATAGAGGGGAATTCCCATCCCTATCTAACTGGAGAGCTTTTATAGCAGTGACACATGTACTCAGAGTTACTAAGACAGGAATGAAACACTTTTAAGATCTCAATATAATAAGTATCATTTAATTCTAGTTGTCTTATAAATTTACATAAAATCCAAATGTCTTCATGTGGGTAAGCCCTGATCTTGATTATAGCTGGCTTATTAGCTACACAGAGAAATAACAGATTATGTGGGCCAGCGAGAGGATAGTCATTTCAATTACCCTGACACCATTATTTTAAGTTTACTTATAACAAAAACATTCAATGATATCAATCACAAACACTATAAAATACAAGGTTTAGGGCAAGGTAAGTGTATTTTGAACCTTCCCACCCCCAATCAAGAATGCCTCCACTGCTAAGCATAACAAGTCATTTCGTGACACATATGTGCAATAACAGGGATTCTGAGCCCAAACCACAGCATCAAAAAGATACCCCAGTATAGTGTATACATGTGCACCCAACTCAGATTTAGGTCCCAGGTGTGTCTGTACATGTTTGGAAAAGAAGGTCTGAAAATGACTATCCTAAAGGCCCGTGGGCTCCAAAGCCCCCTCTCTTCTTGATTAGCTGGAAGAAAAACAAGAGCAATTTCCACAGGAAATTAGTAAGAACCTCTGACTCTGCCGATCAGGATGAAGAACTGAGCTTCACAGGCTTAGTTCCTAAGATGGGAGGAAGAGCTTGTGAGCGGATGGAAACAGTAGCAAGAGCAGTAAGGTGGGGGGAGAGGGAAGACAGGTCCTCTGGGAGGTACAGCGAAGGCCACAGAGCCTACCCAGATGTCCTGGTGGTGGAAGAATTTCTCTTTGGGCCCGCTTTAAGATCTCTTAGAAAAAACCAACTGAAGGTGGGAAACAGGTGTGAGTGTGGAAGGGGGGTGGGGAGGGAAAGGGAAGGGCCTCCGGGCAGGGGGAAGGAAGAGGAGGCAGGAAGAAAGGGACTCTAGTTGTGCAGCCCTAACCAACAACGAAAAGCGAAAAGGGATGCGTTAGATGAGACAGAAAAAGAAATCCTTTTAACTGGTCTCAGTTTTTTGTTTTAATCTGGGAAACTTTAATATTATATTGCTAAACATGTACACAGTAGAAGGAAAAAGAACAAAGCAAAATTCTGAAGCAGTGTTTGCTCCCGTCCACTCTACTTGAGGGCATTTTACTGTATGAGCACTAATGTCACAACAGAATAAACATTTCTGAACATGGACCCGAAGGCCGTGGTCTTTCTGGGAGGCAGGTGCAGCCCCTGTGTGTCACGTAAAGGTATGCCGTGATGGGACTGGCATGTTCACGTCGCACACCCTCAGGCACACACGTGACCACCTGCCATCGGTTTCAGTCTGTCCTCACCAGCATAAACTCCACGAACCTTTCGATGAAGAAGCAACTTTCCTAAATCTAGCCACATCAGCCCGAGCACTGTGGCCTGGGCCGGCGGAGCTTCCAGCCTCAGGTAACGAGGCTGCGCACCTGAACTTGCTGCCTCAGCTCTTTCACTGGTGCTTCAGAGGCAATGGAGGCTCCACACATGTGCTTGCCTCCTACATAACCCAAGCTGGTGGCTCAGGTCCTAAAACACACCAAAGGGAGTCTCCCCTCCCTCTCATCCCCCCCTCTTTACACCCCTCCTCCACTGAGAGAAAATATAATAGCACCACCACCGTGTTCCAAATCAAAGTTCCAGCTCCTTATTAAAAAAGCTAAGAAGTTAAAATGACCTAATTTGTTTGGCAGCGTTTTCATAGGCTGGAGGCTTAGCATACAAGCCGCATTCCTCTGCTATCTTTAGCAGCAATACCATATTTGGTAATCAATATCCTGCTCAGCTCCATTCCAATCCACAGGGATTAGTGAGCCCAAAACATTTTAAACGTTCAAAGATGACGAAGAGGAGGCAGAGGGGGTGGGGTGGGGGAATATGGAAGAGGAAGAGATTTAAAAGAGGGAGACAGATAAGGAAGAGACGTGAAAAAATACCTTGTGCTTTTAATTAGAGCCTAACAAGATTATCTTCTGGCCACAGGGACTTCACATTAAATGCTGTCAGGATAAAAAAGACTGCCAAGTCGAATCTGTGCCCCTTAAAATCAACTTTTTTACACCCTTGCCTTTACTTCTCCAAAACCCATCCCCTAATGAACTGAAACTTTTCCATGTGGAAAAGCTGTCTTCTTTACAAGGCGAGGAGAAAGGATGGTTTCTGGAGAGCAGTGATGACATCAATTTGAGAACAGTTACTTAGAAACAGCCCTGACTGGCTACAGGGACAGCCAACAATCTTCAGGATGGGCCTAAAGCATTGTGACCGAAGCAACAGAGGTTCCTTATGATCCTCAGGGGCCAAACTCCCTCCCCAGGGCCACCTCTGGAAGGTATAGACACTGTTGACAAATACGGTATCCCAAGTAGCCTAGTATATTAAAAGTACACAAGAGCAGTTTCAGGGCAAACCAGCCGGCCCCGACCTGTGCAGCAGGTCTCTATTCTATCTAATTAAAGAGTAATATGCAAATTGACCATCACCCCAACACACAAGACTGCTGTCCCCTTCTAGACACAGATGGCTGCCACAAGATGGCCAGCAGGGAAGGGCACAGGTCTGCAAGGGAGGGAAGTTGTCAAGCCTGCAGGGGAGGGCAGTTAGGGATGACCAGGCTGGCAGGGGAAAGCAGTTGAGGGGGACCAGACCTGCAGGGGAGGGCAGTTAGGGGTGACCAGGCCTGCAGAGGAGGTCAGTTAGGGGCAATTGGGCTGGCAGGGGAGCAGTTAGGCGTCAATCAGGCTGGCAGGGGAGTGGGTAGGAGGTGGTCAGGCTGACAGACACAAGTGGTTAAGAGCAATCAGGAATACAGGCGGGCAAGCAGTTGGGAGCCAGCAGTCCTGAATTGTGACAAGGATCCTAGATTGAAGAGGGTGCAGGCTGAGCTGAGGGACATCCCCACACACACCTTGTGCATGAATATTGTGCATCGGGCCTCTAGTTTTGAAATAATTTTAGATTTTTAAAAAAGTCACAGATAGAGTTCCTATATACCCTTTGCCCAGATTTACCACACAAACTATTTTCACATCCCTGAATAGGTTAAGAATAAGTTGAAAGTATGATGCCCCTTTTACCCTTTATAGTTTGATTTCCTAAAAACATCTTTGTTTTCCTGATCCAAGATATAATCCAGATTTATATATAGCATTCAGTTGTCATCTCTTCAGTTTCCTGGAGTCTTTTCCTCAGTCCTTGTCTTTTATGACCTTGACATTTTTGAAGAGTACAGTTGGCTATTTATTTGTACAATGAGCCTCAATTTGGGTTTATCTGAGTTTTTAGATACAAGTTATGTATTTTAGGCAGGAATAAGAGATTTATATCATTCTGAATGCATATCATATCATTTTTGTCTCATTCACTAACAATAACAACTTTAATCACTTGTCAAGTTTCTCACTATAAGTCACTAATTTCCCTTTTTAATTATTAATAAGTATCTCATACAGGGAGATATTTTGAGACTATATAAATATCTTATTTCTCGATAAACTTTCACCCAGAAATTTTATCATCTATTGATGATTCTTACCTAAAGCAATCACTACTACTGTGGTTGCCAAATGATTTGCTAGTTATTCCTTCTGTATTTAACAGTTTTCTCCTTTGTTAACTATCTATTCATTAATTCATTCATTAATTCACTCACACATCAGTGGTGATTCACCAAAACTAATAAACTAATTTTCATTATTCATTTAAAGTTCCTTTTGTCTTTAGCCTAAAAGTAGCAGTCAATATGTAGATTTAAGAATCTTCTGGGTTAGTTCTCCTCCCGTTCAGTGTGGCTGTCTTATTCATTTGTAATAGATTCATCTTTTCCTGTTTGTACTCAGTTTAGGGTCCCTCTCCATCCTTGTCTTCACGTTATTTTCTCTCTACCTATGTATTTACAGCAGGTAAAATTGTTTTACCATTTAAAAAATTAAAGCTAATTCATCAATTCATTTTACCTTTGTTTACTCCCCCTTATGACTAATTTTATGTATTTGACTAAAAAGCGAGGACCCAGAATTCTAACAGCAACCCCCCACACTTGCTGCAACTTACTGAGATTGAACTTTTTGAAAGAAGATTCTAAATAACCAAAGGTTTTTAATGTCATTTATTCTAGTAAATTTTTAAATTTCTGACTGAAATATATTAAAATTTTTTTAAGGGGGGGGGGCGGTTTGTAGATAATCACTGCTGTAAAGGCTCAGTGTGTGGCCTGAACCTGGGGGAATGGGGCATTCTCAAGGCTGAGCTGTGCTCAATGCATGGCTTCTGGTGAGTCCTGGACCAAAAGCCTTTATAAAGTGACAACATGGGCAAATGCAAATGTTTAAGAATGCTAGTCCATTTGGATAAACCACATGAAACTACTGGAAAGGATCAGACTAACCTTACCATTCATTCCACTATCAGTGGACTCTGCTCTCCTTTGATAGATAGTCATAAGTC